TACTGTCTTACTGAATAGTTTTTAATATTTTGCAAAGTGTAAATCTGTTATGTAAATCGAAATCTATGTGAAACTTACAAATTTTTCGATTATGAATGCTTCACGTATACGTGTAATTTTATATGCACAAAATGAAAAATAACAGTTGCATAACTTATGTATTTTTCTCGATATTGGAGATTGATTTTAACGATTCTACATTCGTCCTTGTTGTAATCTGAGTATCTGGATGTAGGAAATAAAAGTGTTTACGCGCGATAAATATTCGAGAGAAGTTATACAGGGTGGACTATTAAAGTATTACATTATCTTAAATATCTCTTGTTTAATTTAGGAAAAATATTTTGAGCTCGTAGAAATATTTCATAAGCTATAGATTTTTGATAGTTTTACCTTAATACGCAGACTAGCTAGGAAAATTAAATTGCAAAAAAGGTATGTCGTATGATTCTATTAAAACAAACATCGGTAACAATTACATTATATAAATATATTAATTATGAATATTATAAAGAAATTGTTGAATACATCATATTTATCTTCTTAAAACTAAGAAACTTTTATTTATAGAAATGATACATTAAAATAATTGGCCTTGTATATATCCGTATACAATACATATCGTATAATTAACAGAGCAAATAGACAAAGCCTAACCGATAAGATATAATATATTAATTCCAGCAAATTGAGAAAAATAAATTCTCCCTGCCGCTGTACTCTATTGTTTTCAAAAGCTTCTTATTTTTCCTTCTCGGCTTATTAGAGATATGCGCCGGTGCCGATAAACCACGCCGTGCTATCGCTGATGATTAGATCATTATCGCCAGATTACGAACACTTCCCTCGAATGCGAAGTTTTGAACGTTTGTTTGACTCGCGCCTCTAAGTTGCAAAAGATGTAGAGAATTCCAAAGCCGGATGATGCGGCGAATTATCTCTCGACGGCAGTAAGCTTCCACGGATCTGTTTACCAAATGCGCTTACCACATGCTCCAAAAATATCGATATAATAACACATCTATTTCGAATTAAAATAGGAGAGCGCACACACAGAAGCGCGTTACAAAATTCTGTGAAGACTTTTGAAGTTATACAAATGATTGCGATATTACGTGAATGAGAAATTAAAATAGAATTATTTGGATTAATAAATATAGATTAATATGAGAAATTTATATATAGTCATACAAATTTCTCCGTGTAATATATAAGTATAAACCAAATTACCATTCGAAATTCTTAAGATAAGTAAAATTGATGATACAATTAAAGATGTATTCAAGAAAAAATTTATTGAAAGTTGTTTAATTCTTAAGAAGGAATTCTTAGAAGGAATGTTTAATAACTTTTATCTTTTGTTGGACTGTACAAAGTGTTTTCGTAATTTGCGCCAAATACTGCTTACAATATATATTAACTTTAATGAAAAACACATCAAAAAGTCCTAAATTATTTTTTTTCCGATATTTAACGAAAAAAGTATTATTAAGTAAAGTGTATCTAATTAACGTCGTTCTTTAGATGAATATACATTCGTTCGTGAACTGCAAATCAGCACTGTCATTCTCACACACAACGAGACGCGCGGCTCACGGACGTATGCTCGTCTAATTTACAGAACAGCGTTAGTTAGATATGAATTTTAAATAAACTTCGTCGTTAAACATTGGAGAATAAAATGACTTAGGACTTTTCGACTTATTTTTCCGTTAAGGAATAACGTTATATGAGTGGACACTAAACACCTTTTTGTGTACTTACTTGCTGTTCTATAATTTTTATATACTATGTTTTAAATTATGCCAAGAAATGAAATGCTTATGCAACTAAATAACGTCTTTTTCTTAACGCAAAGTTTAAAAAAATGCATTTCTTGATGATTATAATCATTTGTAATTGTGTTTAATATCTACATAAACATGGTATGTTAAAGTTTAAACGTGACGTTAGCCATTCTTTTGTTATCAGTATTAATTATTTCTTTCTACCGCGCATGATATTGCAAAGTGTAACTGATCTGATACGAAAATAGCAACCATTTCGCTTATCTGTTTTTCTCTACTTCGTAACAGAGTATTCGCAAGCGCATATAATTTTATACATATTTTATATACATTTATATATACGGTATGTATAATGTGTATTACGCAGGCCTGCGGCTACATAATACATTATAGTTTTTTCCAATCTATTGAGCGGAATCAGCCATCTTTAATCACATAATCGATCGATGATGGATTTGCATGCGTGCATAGCACACACTCGACACGTGCTCGCGCCTCATTCTAACGAAAGCGCTTTAATGTCCTTCGCGCGTCGCCTCAAAAAACAAATATGCAAAACACCGTGACACTGCTAGAACACATGAAATCGCGGGTCACGCACACGGTGTCTCCACAGTTACCGGCGGATGTTTTTCTTGATTATTTCGAGGCTATTTTCCTTCAACAAAGATAACGGAAACGACTCGCTATCTTTCGCGATATATCTATATATGATACTTTTATCACCGGATTTTTTCTCCGGTTAAGAAAATCTGAAATGCGAGTGCTTTTCTTGAAAGATACAAAGGAATCTACGGAATCGGAGAAATTCAGGGAATTCTTCGCGTGAGAGAATTGAGAAATTCGTATTATATTATCGTACACGAAAACGTACACGTTACGCGACAAATATTTCTTTTGGATGCGTCATGTGTGTTCAGCACATCGCGTATGCGACGACGGTGAAAAAAAAGAAGGTACCGCGAAGGTTAACGAGACCTATTGACCTTTCGCAGCTTCCGAGAATAGACACTCGCGGATATTATGGAGTGCTACGCATAACGTCGACCATTATACCTGACGTTATTTTTGCTTAATATAGGAAATCGCATTCGCGATTTGTGGTCTCGGAACACGTTTGTCGCGGGAGCACGAGTGCGATGACGTCAGCGCTGTTTGGAAAAGTGCAGCGAGGGATAATCCGTAGGACGTGACTAATTGCCTCGAAAGTTAGGGTTTACGTGTAATATGACGTCACACTGCCGTTCCCTCGCAGGGATCTGCTGTCGATCGCGTTTTTTAATCGGCGTAATTTGCGCGACGTTAGGATAGGTCACCCCGTTACAATATACACACAACGTTACAAACTCTCGTCGTGACTCGAATTGATACTATTTTTATAATAATTATTGTTACCATGACGTATTTACATAATTAAATTTGTGCAGCTTTATCGTAAAGGAGGAATGTAAAAGATATCCATAAATATTAATCTTTTTGAAAGGGTCTAAATGGGCCTTTATTTGACTCTGACAATGAGTCTAGATAAGTGTTTTGCGGATCTATCGATCAGAGAAGGAGCGGAAAGGGGGAGAGTTACGGATGAAATTGATAAAGCGATATTTCGCTTCGGAGAAACACTTATATGAAAACTTGCTGAAAAACTTCTAAAGAGACATTGAAAAATGAAATATTGTTTTGCCTCAAAGGGGAAACTGGTATGACAGGTGTACCGTGACAAAAAAATCATGACGAGCACTTACTTCGTCGACCTGGTTGCAGCAGACGCCATTCTATCGTACACTGATTGCCATGTTTTTCTCGCATGATCATCATTTACATAATCATAAGCGACCGGAGCCGTCGTTGTACGAAGTTGATACGCGTCGTTGATGCTTCTTACTGTGTGCCGATACATTGCATACAATAAAGTCTTGCGGTCTACAGACACCGAAAGCACGCGTGTCCTCCTTTCAGCGTGAACCAATTACATACTACGAAGCTTTTTCTTCAGTAATTTGTAGTTGCGTCCTGTACTTACGTTTACTTTGAAGATATTAGAGGGTCACGTTTGCTTTATGTTATGCAAACGTCGAAAAAGGAGAGGCACATTTGTCTCCGAATAAATTAATTTTTTTTTGTGCCTGCCCAAATTCAAATTGAATTATTTTAATAAATACAAGTGATTATGTAAGTCTTACGTAAGATAATAGAATTTCTAGTATATAATTCTATGATCTATAATTTCGTAATATAGTATTTTTTATTTTCTTACTTGAGCCATATAAGTAGTCCTTCAATTTTTTAAAGGATAATTTTCGCTTTAACAAATTTCTTGGCACAAATTCTTTTTAATATTTATATTGTGACTAAAAACAATGTTTTAAAGGAAGCTTCGTAAACAATGTCTACTACAGATAGTTGGTATCAGTTGACTAAGGAAATTTTAAGAATTTTGCGTGTCAAATAAGTATTAAAAATACAGTTACATTTTATTAAAGATTTATGAAACGCGTCTCTAATCTTAAAGATAAATGCTTCCGGAGAAAAAAGAATAAATTTTTTCCATATTCAATATATTCTTGAAATTCTTCAAGAATATATTCTTAACATGTTTCCTTGTATGACATGTTGTTAATTCATTTCTATTTTCATTATTAGCGCTCTATTGTTTACCTCTTTTTTGCGAGGATCGTCCATTAATCATCCCCTTCCCCTTCTCCTCTCCCCATTTCCCTAATTGTTTTACGGGAAAACATTCCGACGAATCTAATGCATCGTATGTACATAAGTGTAACGACGAGCCAGGACAAGATTAGATTATCAGTCCCGAGTCATTCCTCCCCTCCCGTCCCCTCCGCTCGTTCTTTCCCACTGCGAGGCACCGTCTACCCCAGCGATCTCTCAAAACGAAAAATTCTATCCCGCACTTTAGTGCGTCCGTCGAGATCAAGCCGTCGTGCACGACTCCTCCGTGACTTCGCGTTAACTCCACTCTCGGAAAGTTGTACTCTCGATACCGAGGCGCGACGGCGCCGGGTCATGTCAACCGACTAGGGGCTAGGAACGCCGTGACGACAGAGCACCGCACACTTTGTACGCCGCTCTGTTTACGAAACAGCACGCACTGGTAGTGCTCTGCTCGGGCATTGCGACGATTTGTCTGCAATTCGAAAGTGGTCTCCTCGTTATTCCCCGACGATTGCCACCGCGAAACGCAGAGGGAAAAGGAGCGCTCCGTGATGAAGCTCGACGACGAGGCCTTCTCCTTCGACATGATCGGCCAATCTGATCTGGATTTCGGTACCTGTGAATATCTCGGGAACTGTGAGTATAGTGTGTTTGTATAGTAATAAGAAAATGTAATTCTTTTTTTCGACAGTCTGCTTATAAAGATTAGATTTCGATCTTATCGATGTCTCGATATCTCTTCAACAGTTAAAAATGCATAAGTTATGGGTACGCAAAAACACGACGAAAACAAACGAATTACGTGACGAAAAAGAACGGAAAATTGAAAGGTAAAGAGCGAAATAGTCTTATACGAAAAAAAAAGTTTAAAGGATAGAGACAATTTTCATAGCGTTATAAGTTAATTTATGGGAAGTCAGTATTTTCTTTCGTATTTCGTAAATATTTTATCTGTTTATCTAAACACTTAAACACTAAAGTATTAATCTGTTATCAATGCATTGCTATTCAGTATCAAATAGAGATTACGAATATCTTGGCTTTTTTTTCGACTGTCGTATCACATAATTTACGACGATATTGACGATCATAAATAAAACCTCAAAATTCAGTAATCCAAGATTGCTAAATTTAAGAAAGGAGAAATAAAGCCGAAAGTCGGATTGTGTTTATCGAAAAACAGATAATGGATATTTTTTTTTTAAATACTGTAAATTAATATTATATGAAATTTAAGATTTGCAATTCAATGCCTTGGGTTCTACTTCGTATATTTCCATTGACGTAATTAGCATTTTTTTTTATACAGAGCTAAAATAAAAAAGAAAAGAAAAACGGCTTGATACATGTATAAAAATACATATCGCGTAGTTGAAAATATTCGTTCTTCTAGAATTTATACAAGTCCCCTTTTTCGATCATCGACGAGAAAGTAACGAATATTCTGTATAACACAATTCGACTGTTATTTCGGTCGTGGCGCAACAAATTACATCACAATTACAGCAGCGCCAAAAACTTGTCAAACATTATTGAGAGGATGTATCCCATCTCTTGTTCATCTTATCTTATCTTATCTACACATGGGGGAGATACCAAATTTTTTTCATATAACCGTACACTTAGACGAATTATCTAATGGCACATGTAAACTATCTTTAATCCTATATCATCAACTCTACTCTTATTCCGCCGTTAAATTGCGATTACGATATCATTTAAGTAATGTATATTATTAGACTTCTCAAGTACATTGTATTTTTACATATTTTGCGTTTTATATGTAGCGTTGTGGTTTTTTTGTAACAGAATCGGGCGAAAAGTATAACATATTTCCATTTTCACCGTTCGAAAATCTTCCTGTTTTTCCGAACGTCCACGCAACTTGTACATGGATATAAAAACCGATGTGTATCCTCTAACAATTAACTCGATTAAATCAATTTCAAATCGGGCGCTTATCGGACAGATAATGATCGTTGAAAAAAAGCACGGGATATGAGCTTGCCGATTATATCATCGACGAGGTGTTGTCGCACTCGCCCGCGGTATCTCGCAATTAACGCCCGAGAAATCGGTCGTGTGACACGATACGAAATTCCTAAAAATATATACAAGGCAGATATCCAAAGACACGTACGACGGCGGCTCTACTATACGCGCCGGTATTTCTGTTCTCCCGATTACACCCGGGTCGCGGAATTATCCGCGGTCGTCGCTCGCCACCCCCGCAGATTTTTCGAACAATGCGAGGCACACCGCACCGTCGGTGATATACCGAGTGCACGCACACACAGGCGCGAGAGCTAATAAGCATACCCCTTCGCGCGCGGCACGGAAGAAAACGAAGGGCATGAATCACACTTTCATTCGCTGTCTCATTGTCCGTCGGTGATGCGGGAACAGGAGCATTCTGTATTGTACTTTATCGCAGGGAAACTGACTCACTTCGATTCTCTCTCTCTCTTTCTCTTTCTTTCCTTCTATCTCTTTCTCCCCTCCTTTCTCTGCGTCTGTCCACTCAGGCAGGAGCTTTGTTACACACGTCGTTTCTCCGTGGCCTGTGTTTGCGCGAAAAGCACGAGCAATCTCATGGCAGCAGTCTCTTTGTCACAGTCGTCCGATAACGAATCAACTGTGTAGATGAAAGAAAAAAAAAAAAACAAATGGTCTGGGCACAGCAGCGGTGTACGCTCTTTCCACACGGAAAACGGCATAGGAAAAAAGTTAATCGTTAAACGGACACATTCACGAATTTAAGGAAATTATTCTTTCACGACGAACAACAAGTTTCGTTTCAAGCTTACGTTTGTACCTGCAAAATTTTTATTTTATACATTAATATTTTAGACTTCGCAAAGAATCCTTTCTCAAAGGATTCTGCGACAAAATTCAAATTGAATTTTTAACTTTCAACTTCGCTCAACGTTTACGTCGCCTCTGACGCGCTATTGCAGCTGATCGCCGTTAATTAAATCGCTTGATCGTTATTAACCGCCCGACACGCCGCGCAATTACTCTTAAAATAGTTGGAAAACACGCGGTATATCCACGGCATAGTCTATGAATGAGATAAATACGTGCATGTGCGCGTGAGGCAATATATTTTCGACAAGGCAAGTCCCACTTTCTATATTTTTAGCCCGTTCCGACGCTTACGTAGGCCCTCGCGTAGTAAGAAAGAACGATGCAATTTTGCGCACATCTGATCTCAGGCGTCGTTACCTAGGACGCAGTGACGTAATGTCATCTGAGCCACCTGGCTCCGCGGCCGAGTCGTCATAAATAAAATGACAGCGTAATGACGGACATACGCCTCTTTTTTTGTGTCTTTTTCCATGGCAAGGACAAAGAACTTTGCGATTTGCATTCGCTGTAACGAATTGTTTTTCGTTATACGGAGCGCAGATTTCGTTACGAACGCTCCTAGGCAGATAAGTGATCGTCAATAGTCAATATCGTATCGTTTCCGATCTTATCGATGTGTATCACATATCTTTCGATTACTGAATTTACTCGACGATTATTGATATCTTCTAGATTACGACGAGATACGAAAGCTATAATATAGTGTGCATCTCGCGCCTGAAAGTTTTCTCAAAAATTGACACGAAGTCGCGTGTTCTCTTTCGTGAGATCGTCAGAGGATCGGTTTGTACGAATTTTTTTTTCGAGTACGGTCTTTCAAGAGCTTAAATATCCTTTAAAATCCGAAAAGATTCGCGGTTTTGCGAGGCGCACGATCGCGTTAACGCTCACGTCCGCGGCCTCTGGGCCTCCCACCATCGCGAAACGCGCGGCAAAGCACGACGGCAAAACGTGCGTACGTTTACAGCTGTTTGCCAGTCGTCACCGGACCGCCGCCGTGGTGTCTGGCGAAGGTCATTAACGCCGTCGTGATTATCACCGTTCACTCGCCGCCTGCTCGCGTTCCCGCTCGTCGCCGCGTAATTTTTCGGCACCGCCGTTGAAAATCGTCCAGTTTCGAGACGGCTGGAGCGATGGGAGACACCCGTCATCTCGCGTGAACACGCGTCTCGCGTCTAGGAAAGCGTTGAAAGAGGAGAGAGAAATAGAGAAAAAGGGAAAGAGAGAGAAGTCGGCAACAGACGGAAGCGGCGAAATTGAATTTCTCGATTGTTCGAATCGCGAAACGGGTTGGCGGTAAGAAAGTAAACAACGTCGCCGAGCAGCGTCGCGATAGTGATCGAGAGAGTGGCGATTCATCGAGATCGACGGGGACCGGCACGGAGCACCAACCGGTTGAAAAAGAGAGTCCTCACGATGGGCCTGGCAGGTGCGCTCCTGTTCCTTTTTATTCTCTCTGTTGCATGCGTCACATTATCGTATCATTCCCGTTGTTATATCTGCGAGTGGAGGATCGTAAGGGGATAAGTATCATTTTCCAATTGCGACAATGTTGAGATTCTTTATCAACTCTGTTACGCGCCACTTTCGTTTTATTTCAATAAACTGACCCTGCACGAACGTTCGTCGATTGTATTTGTCGTTTTTTCTTTATTTTCTGTTTTACTGATTGTGAAACGAAAACGAAGAAGACTGGAAAGATTTTAAAAATTGCTTAATAAAATTTAAATTTGAGAATTTTATTATTTGAAATGTTAAGTTTAATATATATAGTCTTTCGTAATTCTCCACTCTGCTATTATCATGCTAAGTCATCGAGTGTATAATGTCGCGATTACGTAACAAGATATTTTAATAAAAAAGAAAAACAAAATTCACAAGATGGTATGTAGGATATAGCCTAAAAACCGTAGCCAAAATTGAAAATAATGCAAATATTTTGTTGTACACTGCGAATGGTAGATCGAGTAAGTCAACCTTGTTAGAATTCATCATATAGATAGGCGACTATCCATATTATTGATATTACTCATATTATGCGAAAGATCATCGATGATCGACGCTTATCGAATTATTGGATGTATGCCAACTAATACTAAATCGCATGTTTCTATCCTAACGACCAGAGGAAAATTTTATTTAACATTATTCAACTATCTGCTTCATGAAATTAAAATAAACAATTACATTATTCGAAAATAAGAGAAACTTTCATAAACTAAAAATCAACTTTATGTTGATCAAAATAAAATTAAAAAATGTAAAACTTGATTAAGAAAACATACGAAAAAATTAGTCAGATTTTCAGATTGAATAGTTTATCGTAATAATAATTTAACTCTGTTCTTTAAGAAGTAAAAAAAAGAAGTATTTATACTTAAGTATTTATAAATATTTCGAAAATTTTAGTTCGCATTCCATATTTTCAAAACATATTGCTTTAATGAATTAAATTCCTTCGGCTCTTAAAGAAGCGACTGGACCACACTATCTGTGTCACGCTCTCCAATTCCGGTTGTTTATTCGACGTTACGTAAAAAAATAATCTCTCCGCGAAACGCGACGCGCGCTCGAAAACTTTCCGGCGACGATTAGAAGCGCCAACAGCGATCATCCTGAAGGAAGTTTTGCGCGCGTGACGGCCCCGCTGGCTCGCGTTCGATCTAATTGTGCCATGACCTAAACGTGACTTGCGTTTTCGCGTGACATTCCGCATCCGTGTGTGGCTGCGCACTGCGCGTTAAGGTCCGGTTGCATCGACAGTCTCTGGATTAATTAAGCCTGGCTCTAGAGTGACTCGCCGTTCCATTTTAGAATATATATCGCCTGTGACGATTGGCACGGAGGAACAAAATAATTCAAATAATTTTACTTCTCAGTGAAACAAACAGCAAGCTCTTAGCTTCCTGTCAGTTTCGACATTTATCTTTCATATATCTAAATTGTATTGGAGAAAATGACGAAGCAAAATAAAATGAAATAAAACTCAAGTTTTCGAGAGATAATAGATAACGTAAAAAAATCAACATTACGTAATAAAAAATTCTGATTTTATGTAAATATTGTGTATCTTTTTTTCACATAGAAACTATTTGAATATGTCAAGGATATATTTCGTTTATTATTTTGCAAATCTGTGTGACGACATTTATCCGTAAATAATTAATATCTTTTTAATTTTGGAAGCGGAATTTATTTTGAAAGCATCCAAGGCCTTTGTAAAAAAAAGGCAATTTTTAGTTTACATTTACCTATCTCTTGTAAAGAATTTTAATTCGAGGAGTGCATTGCAATCATTTTTAGACCGTGTATTCGGAGATACTGTGTTCACTTTAGACGCACTTTTTATACATTACTCTTCCTCTCTAAGGCTGAAATGTACAATTATTTGATCTTAAACGCGGAAAGAAGGAGGCAGCAAAAGCAAATAGATCTCAAGTCTCTGGTTTGCTGGCAGCACTCTCTCGAGTAGAGAACGTCGCAATTAAAAATCTCTGCGATGCGAGAAAGAGATAGAGAGAGAGAGGCCAAGAAAGACAGAGAAAGAGAGAAGAGCCCCTTATCATTCCAGTTGACACGTCGTCGTGTTATCGTCAGCGGCGTCGCACTACGAATATGCCGCGTATAGACAGTGGCGTATGATATTCCACGTTTTGGTACTCCAACTTCAAGCCTTGATAACGCCGAGAGAATTTAAAATTTCTTCGAACAAATAATCACGTTTTTGAAAAGAAAATATTTAAAAACGTTCACATAAGAATGATAATTTTTGAGAATATTCTTAATTTTCTTTTGCTTAGTTTGTCTTGGTAGACAAACCATATTTGAGTTAAAATATTAGACTAGTACATAATTTGCTTAGTTCTTTACGGAGCTTGTTTTATTCTTTTTTTTCTTTAAAGTATTACAAAGTTAAAATGAAATTAAAGTATCGCGATTTTTTCTTCAACATTATGGATTATGAATATAATGCGGATGTCTGTGAAAGCATCAAGCAGTATTAAAAAAAATTTAAGTAAAGAATTGAATGCATTGGGTAGAAGGCATTAAGTTTTAGACCTGGGGTTTTATTGGTCCGATGGAACGTTCTTGATTATGTGTCACTGCATGTGTGCATTCTATATATTGCGAGTGGCGCCGGATCGTGACACGCGCGTGCATGCGTGCGATTGACGCACCGATATAGCACGTGCGTAGACAACAAAAATTTACATATTTATAAAATATAAAAGTGAAAAATGGGAAAGGCATAATCGAAATGTTCGACAATCGTGTCAAAATAAATATTTAACACTAACACTTTGTAATCTACTTGATATCAGCGTTAGCGTTAACTATACAGTTAATGCGCCTAATTTCTTTTTTATATTAATTTTTAACACTCAGTACAATGGCTTTGTATCGAATAGAATCTTTTGTTCAGGCTATTTAGAATGTATTGAGAGATGTTGTAGAATCTTATTGCTGAAGGATCACGTCGTATTTGATTTTCCTTGAATATTTCTGGCGTAAGATAGGATCAAGAGTAGATATTAACGGAAATATGCCCGATGATAAATTTGTCCGATTGAAGATTACGGAAGATAGCGGATTGAATTATCGTGGATTGAAAACGCGTGTTTAATAGGCGCAGATCGTGCAGAAGGCTGAGAATCCTTAATAAAATGCTCGCACGGTCGGATTTAACAATGTTTGTTTATTCTAAGTTTGCATAGCAGATAATCGCGCTATAGAATATTTTTATGTTTATTGTAATGACCGATTATATGAATTATTAATAGGATTACATATTAATAGGAAAAGTGCGTTGCAAATAAAGTCTCCTTTTTTTTTTTTTTAAATAAGAAGCTAAAATTAAAACGATGACATAAGCGTTGATGATTTTTACGAGGGACGCAGATATTCTGAATCATGTCTGTCGCTCGATAATCGCATATTGCACGTCCGAGTTTCTTAACTCTGAAATAGTATAAATCTATAGCTGTCATTATTAAACGGTGGCCTATTACGCGTGACATTTGCGATGCAAAAAAGTACTACGAGGTTTTGTGAGATTTAAAATGATTTGTTCGCGCAGCGCGAGGTCGGTATTTAGAATAATTTGATGAAGCGATAAAGCGAGGATTACTCGATTTGCATTCGAGAGTTGCGCTTCGGGAATTTAATACGACGACAGAAAACAGGAAACGCAGTAGCAAGATGACGATAGAGAACTATGTGATAGACGCGGTGTGTTTCCTGTTTCAAATTGAACGCTGCTGGTCGATTCGAGTGCTGGTCAACAGGAAGGCGCGCTTTAAGGTTGGCCCCGGAGTAATTACGTCTTTTCTCTTCTTCCGTCGCCGTGTCCTCCCTTACCGTTGTTTGACTATGCTAATATTGCGCTAACAGCCTAGGCAAACTAGGCAATATATATATGTATATATATATAGCTGTGCGCGCCGCTGAAAACTCACAAAAGTAAAAAAAAAAAGAAGTAGGAAAGAAAAGACCGCCTCAGCTTCGAGTCACGCCGTGCCGCACCGCTTTAAGCATTACTCCGTCGCGCGGGGCATGCATAAATAATTAATAGCCTGCAAATTGATTCGCAGTGTCATTATGACGAGCGTCTAACGCGCGCACACACGGGCATGATTCCGTGTGAGAAAGACGAGGAAGAAGCGTACAGAAACGCGGCGCATAGAGCCGACTATCTTCTTCCTCTCCCGTGTAAACCCGTGTACGTATATTAAGCTGGAATCCATTAATTTTCTCGCGGCTGGGACACAGAGAGGCGTTACGTAACATAATAGGACACGCACGCGACGCGGCTACCGCGTACGTGTCGCAATCGCGTAGCTGCATTAACTTAAGTAGATATCAATTGGACACCTGTGAAGAGACGCGTTCTTCCACGTCGGCGGAGACACGCGGCGGCGAGAAAAGAGCTAAGAGAGCGAAGCTCTCTCCGGAGAAGAGATTACGATTCCGCGTTGGGCTCATTGAAATGACAGGAGTCAAAGGACACTTCTGTCGTGAACTTTTTAACGATAGAACGCTCGCGCAAAGCTAACGCGAAGATCGCCGTTACTTACAAGTATCGGCGACTTCAGTCTCAAGAAGAACCGAACAACCGAATCATTCGTATAAGGCGTTATGATAAACGTTCGGTAAACGCTGCGCGAAAGTGATGCACGAAAGTGAAAGCTCGACGCGGGGGTACCAGGGGGGGGGGAGGAGAAAAAGGAACGCAAGGAGGGTAATTATGTTATCGTGACCACCGCGTGTTTCAAGAAGGACTTCGTGTCTAGGATTTCGTGTCTAGGAATGAAAGCGATGGTGCTTTCAGATTGTTTCTTTTTCAGTGGAATTTTCTCACCTGCGCGAGACGACGTAGCCGGAAGGGAAGGCTAAAAAAGGCTCGCGCGTTCGCCAGCTGCAAACTTCGCG